CAAACAGGTGTTATTAATACCCTGCTTCCTGGGGAATTTTCTTACCGAGGGCGGTAAAAGTCTCCCTTTCCAGAGCGCAGTTGTCGATGAGCAGTGACTTCAGTGCCGGTAAAAATCGGAGCCTGCTGAGTAGGTTTTCAGAAGAGCTGCCCATCTCTTTGTTGGCAGACAAATCCAATTCGTGAAGACTCGAGAGCAAAGGGATAACCTGGGCTGTTCAAATAGCCACAGTGACACGACTTAGGCACCGTCCCACAAAGAGTCTTCTGGGTGTTTGGTTCTCACAATCTTCTCGATTGGCAAGGCCTGCCTTCCCTTACACACTTACTCACTTACACACTTACACACCACACGAACCAGCCACCCTTCCCAGGATGCAGCCTGGGCTCTGTCACTTCCGAGCCTCTCTCCAAAGATTTTAGAGACAGAGAGCGGGGCTCGAATCCCAGCTCTGCTACTAAAGAACTGTGTGATTTTGGGCAAGTTGCCTAACATCTCTGAACTTCAGTTTTCCCAATAACAGTCGTAGCAATTCTACTTCACAGGGCCAGTGGGAAGATAAAACGACTTGGTGTATGTAAACTGCTCAGAACAGTGCCAGGCACATATCAACCACTCAGTTGATGTTTGATATTATCATTCTTTTCTCAGAATATAAGTACTAGGAAGGCAGTGGGACCAAGCAAACGGCACTGGATTGGGTCCTGAGGGCCCCTGTGATGCACGGGGTCTCTGTGGGCTGGCTCACCTCAGAGGCTCCCAGCCACCTGAGCCTGGTCACAGTAATCCCTCGGTCAGTATCACATCGCCTGTTTCATTTTCCTCACAGCACCCCCATTATGTAATTGTTTATTTGTGTGTGTGTTTGCCTTCTGTCCTCCCTCACTGAAGGTGAGTTCTGTGCGTAGGAACAGTCTCAGAATCTGGAACCTGGAGGCACGAACCTACACATAAGTACAGAATTCTAAACTGTGTAAGGAGGGGAGGAGAATAAGAGAAGGAAAGGTGAAGGGAAGGCGAGCACTGTGATCCCAACAGACGTAACAATCACTCCCTCTTTGAATCCCCACAGCACGTTGTAGTTCGCTGTGCAATTTAGATATTTACTGGTTTATCACTGCCCTTACCAGACTGAAGCTCCTGGACTGTGAACTGTCCGAAGCCCACCACACAGTGGCAGGTACAATTAGATGGTTAATCAATAGTTGTTGGCTAAATGATCTATAATTCCATTTCTTTGGAGCTGTCTAGAATGAGCAGATAAAAGAATGCTTAATATTAAAAAATAATTCTTTAACATCATAAGGTATTATGCTTTTAGTACATAATACATCAACAGGATGTATTTCCATTTCCAACTTTTCAAAATTAAGCAGAAGGAGAACAGTGCAATTCGAGACAGCTTTTAAATAATCATTAGCTTTCCAAGGCCTGTTGGTGGCTGTGAATCTAGGTAAGAGAGGCTAATCCCTCTGTTATGTTAGTGGTAACAATTCAGGTCATCTAGCAGTTTAATCTTCCTCTGAGCAACAAGCTGAGATGTGATATTCCTGTTATTCAGTATACTAAGGGGAATTTATTATTTAGAATCTGATGGACTGCTAACTCAGGAGTATCTCTCCCAGGTCTGACACTCATAAATAGAGGGGTGCTATACCCCATACAGCTCTACCTGGAGCCCCAAAATGGGTTGTTTTGTTACTTTAAAATCTCCAAGCCTTGACCTCTTCTCATTTTCCAAAATTGAGTGATAAGAGCCCAAAAATAACCAAGCAGTTCTAAAAGGTAGATGTTAGACCTCAAAACCTATTTTACTGTTTTCCTCTCCAAATTGTACTACAAAACAACTAAAAAGTTCTTTTTCTTCGTGTTCATCGAGTCATTCATTTATTCAATCACATATTCCACAAACATTTACTGGTGCCAACTATGTGCCAGCCCCTGGGTGTGAGCAAAGGAGAGATGTGGAAGGAGATGCACCCCTCTCCGGGAGGAGCCCATGATCTGAAGAGAGCTCAAGGGCAAAGGCCCAGGACAGAGCGCAGCTGGTGAGGATCAGCATGAAGGTGTGGCTGGAACAGGGTCAGTGAGGGGGAGGGGGAGGGGGAGAGAAAGAAGGCAGTGACAGAGGAAGAGGGTGACCATTTGGTTTCGTGGGATGACCTAAAGCAGGGTGGCAGAGGTCTAGATGGTGAACCACGATCAGATTTTGGATGTATTTTGAAGGTTTATTGTGGTTACAGATGGAATAGAACACTTACTCTCAAGGCTGCGCTTGCTGCTTGTTATGGGAAACTGCACTGATACATTACACGTTGTAGTAATAACAGGACTGTGTCCGGGGTAGGAAGTAAGTGTGGTACTGATGTGTAATGTAACTTGTTATGCACCACCCCACTGACTTTTTCTCTACCTTCGTTTGTATCTAAGTGACTTAACTTGTTAGTCTGAAAGCCTCAACACCCTTCGTTTTGGCTTTCCCTCTACAGCCCTCTCTGTAATAAGCTAGGTGACACCAACAGATTTGTTTCTTTTTGTTGTTCCACTTACTTATTTTATTTAAAAAAATCTTTATTGTTGAAAGTATTACAGATGTCCCCTTTTATCCCCCATTGGTCCCTTCTGGCCCAGCCCTCCCCCCTCCCCCCATCTCCTGCTCCAGGCCTTCACCACCCTATTGTCTGTGTCCATGGGTTATGCATATATCAAACAAGTTCTTTGGTTGATCTCTTCCTACCCACCCACCCTCCCTTGCCTTCTCCCTAAGATTGAACAATCTGTTCCATGCTTCTGTGTCTCTGGATCCATTTTGTTCATCAGTTTATTTTGTTCATTAGATTCCACATATGAGTGAGATCATGTGATAAGCCCGTCAGAGAAAGATAAGTATCACATGATCTCACTCATATGCAGAATCTAATGAACAGGTCTGTTTCTACACAGCAACATAAACCCCAAGTGTTCTCCTTCAAGTACCACAGCTATCATTTACTGGCGTGTATAGGAGGACTTTAGCCTCACTAACACTTACTGGGCACTTTATAAATACTATAGTGGGGCATTCACAGCACTTTTATGATTTGAGCCTCCCAGTAGCTTCATCAGTAGTAAGTTTAAGGGCATATCTCAAATTTGTCACATTTCTAAACACATGCCAAGGCTACAATGCCCTTGGCTCCATCCCACACACTTACTCAGCGACACCACGTCACCGGCTGTTAGTGAGCACTGGTGCAGGTCCAGGACTTCCAGACGCTCCAGCGTGGCCACCTGAGCTAGCGAGTCTTCAAAACCTCCACCCAGCTCCTTGTTGCAGGACAGGTCGAGTGTCCTCAGCTCACTTAAGTGTCTAAAAGCAGCATCTACAGAGAAAGTCAAATCCCATTCTGACATATGACAAGGTGGTAGGCAGGCATGGAGCAGGGGAGGGCACAGGTGTGCAGAAGGGAGACTGAGAAATACACCCAGAAAAATGCCAAAGCAGAGGAGTAACTGTAGACTGCAGACTCCCTACCATCTACCCCTCTTCGGATTTGACAATGACCTCAAACACAATGGTTCTGCCACTCATGGTTTTCCTACTACAACTGAGCTTTGGCGTTTTCATAGAGTTCTAGATTTGATCAAACTGCCAGTGAGAAGGCTGTTACAAGCGTTGTAAGTCAAAGGGAAACACAATTTCATTTCACATTCTCCTTTATTGTGGATGCTCTATACAGGGAAATGACTTTTACCTATGGATACCACTGAAGCCATTCTTTTTATCAGTACCAATTTCTTCTTACTGCTGAGCACAAAATAATGCTGACAGTTTTAAAAGTAAGAGAAACTGAAGTGCTTTAAGAGCACAGAAACTTTTGTTTTGCCCAGTATCTATCTCAAACCTAAAATAGCCTGGCTTTTTCAGATTCAGCCATTTGAAAAGGTTATTTTTGTAATCATGGAAGTATATTCTTGCTGTAAAAGAAAGTACATAAAACATTAAGATTTAAATGACCCATAACCTTATTCCTCAACATAACCACTGTTTATATTTTATTTTTCCTAATAGTTTTAAAAATCTACACTAATAAAAGAGAAACATGGTAATTGGCGTACGACCGCTACCTTTTTCATTGGCTAATCAGTGAGTATATGCAAATTAACTGTCAGCCAAGATGGCGGCCGGCAGCCAGGCACTGAAGCGAGCACGAGGCTTGCTTGCTGCAGACTCCAACGTTCCCC